TACTGCTGGGCACGCTAACCTAGTTACCTCCACCACATGGTGTATATACCTCTGCTCCTCTAATTTGATTTGTGTCTGCCTAATTATCAGAGCCACAAGTCTCACTATAAGAGGGTATACAGTGTCAAGTGCAGGCATACAAGGCTTCACTGCCCCTAGTTTGTCACTATAATGGCTCAGTCTTCTCTCTATTCAATCACGGGAGCTTTGCTTCAAATATCTACCTTTGAGACTTCTATTACTCTATGGCTACCACTGACTCTTTCCCTGTGTGGCTAGATTTGTACAACAACACTCTGTTATATTCTTGTATCAAATTAGTTGTGTGCCTCGTGGTATGGTGATCAGCTGGTGTATACCCCAAGGGATTGTAAGTCTTCAAGGTGCTTAAAGTGTATGAAGGACTGAGCTGTGGTAAGGGTGACAAGGTATAGTGTATTGGGATGTCTTGCTGACCAAGAGCTTATCTAGAGTGGTGCGAGGAGGAACAAATGCACGTACTCGAAAAATGACTACCCTCTGATCGATGACTAGAGATTTGTTCGCACATGAACACGGTGGCAGTGTAGCTGTCTGAGGTGATTGTGCCAGGGTAGCTACGTACAGTGGCTCATGTTTATGTGTAAGGCACCATATTATTATGATGTGTCCCGAAGAGTTAGAAATTCACTCACGTGGCAACTTTTGGCAACTATAATTCTGGTACGGAGAGTCAAAACTGGCGAAATTTTTGCTGCTACCATAGTGATTGTGTGCATGCAAATAATTAAAACGTGACGTTCTACGTGGACGCAGCATGCCGGCTAGACTCTCGTGTCCAGCAGTAAGCTGTGTGGCTGACTCCACAGTGCATAACTCATGAACTGCTTGTCATACAGGTATTACTAGTAAAGCTGCAAATCACTATAGTTGCAGGAATTATTAGTGTCAACAGGTGAAGTTAGTTTGGGTGGTGGTGTTGAAGCACACACACACACATTACACTAGGTTTATGAGACTACACAGGTATTATCCATCTTGTGTGCGATGTGTGAAGCAATCGTAGCACGAGCTGGGTTAACCTTCACGAACTCCCTCGAACATCAGGGGGGAGTATTAGAGAGAGCATTTTGATGCACAGTCTCGAGTACCACTTTTGTATGGAGTCTGGGCACAACCAATACATAGGCTTAGGTAATTAGCTACACCGTAAATTATCGAAGTAGGTTCAATCCTCTTTTGTGCGCCAACACTAGAAGATCTCAACACCAGGAGATCGTGTGTGCTGGGCCAGGCGCCGTGTTGTGCCTGTATGGCTAAATGGTTGCCCCTATAGTGTGTTAGTGGAGGAAGTGTTTGCCCCTGTGAGTAGGGAGGTGTAAACTAGGCTGTGGATGAATAAATGCATGAGTATACCCCCTCTTACGATGAATCTCCACAAACTGAAACAGTTTGAACATTTTGCTGTCCTGATCACTCTTCTGATCCTTTGTACAAACATTTGTTGTGGAGCATAGTTGTGAAGCTAGCCCGAATGTAAACAGTACTGTCTTTACTACATGGTGCAGCTCTTTAGTTATTGACCTTTAGCATGTATGTATATGTGGAGCCATTACTCTTTCTGTCACCACCCTATATAACAGTTATACTGTGTCCATTTCTACATCCAACCTAACTTAGTTAAGGCATGAAAACGAAATATATTCATACATAATGGTAGCTAATGAGTAATGTATTAGCTTGTGCACATAGGTTGACCTGTCTTGAGCGGTTTGTATAGTTAATTGACGGGGATCAAGCATCGGTCCCATTGCCTACTAATGCCATAGTAAGTAAGATAAAACACAACTATAATTGCAAGTAGCCAGACAGCATGTCCAATCAATCTTCACTCCACACACATTTACAGTTCGCACTGACAAATGTTTGTTTTGTAGCTACCAAGACTTTAAAGGCTGTTTATTTCGTCTTGAGATCCAAATCAGGCATTGTGTATTGTAGGTCTACGATTGATCTGTGGGCATGATTTTGACTGAGCAGCTGCAAGCATAAGGTGCTATAACCCCACGATCCACCAAAGCCCCCTAATGGAGAAACATAAACTACCCATGTACCATGAGTCACATACATTGAGCTGTTGTGAATCCTGAGGAACTGACTCGACATACTGTTGCCAACCCCAACCCCAACCCCAACCCCTCACTCTTCTGTCTTATAAGTGACAGTACACATAGTGTGTGGATGGGTGTACTATGGTAGTAGCTAAGCATACTCTTGGCGTGTGCTGCGGCTCTGCCTTAGTGTGTGAGTGTACTAACTGTTGCCCCCCCAGAATGGTGGATGGGGGACATGTGTACTATGGTATATAGTAGCTAAGCATACTCTTGGCGTGTGTGCTGCGGCTCTGCCTTAGTGTGTGAGTGTACTAACTGTTGCAGAATGGTGGATGGGGACATGTGTACTATGGTATATAGTAGCTAAGCATACTCTTGGCGTGTGTGCTGCGGCTCTGCTTAGTGTGTGAGGTACAACTGTTGCACGCAGCATGGTGATGGGGACATGTGTACTATGGTATATATAGTAGCTAAGCATACTCTTGGCGTGTGTCTGCGGCTCTGCCTAGTGTGTGAGTGTACTAACTGTTGCAGAATGGTGGATGGGGGACATGTGTACTATGGTATATAGTAGCTAAGCATACTCTTGGCGTGTGTGCTGCGGCTCTGCCTTAGTGTGTGAGTGTACTAACTGTTGCCCCCCCCCCAAATGGTGGATGGGGAAATGTGTACTATGGTATAAGTAGTAAGCTACTCTGGCGTGTGTGCTGCGGCTCTGCCTTAGTGTGTGAGTGAACTACACTCAACTGTAGTGGGTTGTGTATGTATGGTCCCATTACACAATGGTGATCTAGAGATATGATTGGGATAGAGCTGAATGAGTGAAGCCTCTTTGGTGAGGTTGATGGGGTTTTGATACCACTGGGAACATGGGTTCATGGTTAATGTGTGTTAGCCCAGGTTTACAGGGCAGGTACATGCAGGTTTGCTAATTAAACTATACTGCTGTGTGCTGACAGACGATATGTACATGTACGAAACTAGTTAGTGGATATCACTTTCATGCGAAAGGAAGGGAGCAAGAAGAGGGTTAAAAGGTTTCAATGAGCAGTTTGCTGACAGTCATGCTATGCCACTATAGAGATTGTCTACCCATAAGCAAGATGACTGAAAGTGATTCACTCCACACCATCCCAGAATTGTTTGTGTGGATGAGGCCAAAGTTGAAGAGCATGACAAAAATACCACAACTCAATTTAAAAGTGCACGTGACCGTATTTTTTCATGGTGAAACATGTAGTGATGGGGTTATGAATCGGTGTAGACGTACACTAGTTCCCATGATGTTATATCTCACAGTGTGCCAACATATAAGAAGATGTAATGGCGGTATGGAAAGTTGTGAACTCCTTACGAGCAAATTCTCCAGCGTGGGACTGCGGGCTGGTGAACCTTTTGTGGGTGACGATTGGCGTTTTGGGACTTCCACCTGAGTTTGGAGGCTTTATGTATCTGGGCTACATCTTAAGGCATCTCTACACAGTGTAGGGAGAGTTTGAATTCAGATCATACAGTCTTGACCAGAAGGCTTGTGCCTCATACCAGTCCTATCAGAAACAGCTGGGGAGTAGTTGGTCCAGTCCACTGCTCAAGGCTTTGTCTTACAAGTTCATGTGGCCTTGTTTACCGAGAAGCTGATATTATGAGTGAGTATTGGGAGAACCGCATTTTCCCCTTTTGGGACTAAGATTGTATTATATAGCACAAGATAACTGACACTGGAGTGAGTCGATGATGCAACACTTACTACTTGCTAACAAATGACCCCAACTTGCAACAGCGGAGTCACTACATCACTGTACATTGGAGTAACACACGAGTTGTTATTCAAATCTGCCTGAGGCAGACACAAGGACTGGGCATTCGTGAGGGTTGTATTCAAGTATTCAAACGGAGTTAAAACCAAACATTCTCACATTTGGACAAGCTCGTGATCTTAGTTCACCGGCCTTTCATGTCTTAGCTCAGGGGAGTTCAAAAGATGATTGTGATTCATGAGAACAAAGCCCGGGGTGATACTAGTCTCTCCAATAGAGAATGGGTTGTCTTAGTCTGGCCTGTACAACCTTGATCGTGAGCCATTGCAATTATGCTGCTAATAGTAAGGGATCACCTCCTAATCAGTATGAAGCTCAGGTATGTATGTAGAGACACATCAGACGGTGAACATTATCCTGCTGTGTGTCCATGAATTGACTAGTCTGTGTCTACCATTAGATAGCAGTTCTTTGCTGATGGCTATGAAAGTTTGTCCAGTAGTTGCTAGTAGGTTGTTGGCTGCATTATGTGCAGGTAAACTGGGGTGCTGTAAATAACATCCAGTAATGTTTAATGAGATATCGATCAACATTCTTTTTGTCTTGTGTGCCTGTGCTAATGATGCTGTCATTGTCAAGAGAACTGCTAGCCTTTCAGTTCCTTGGTGTGGAGATGAAGCTCTAACTATGTGTCATTTTAAAGAAGCCAGGAATGTATGTGCTGGATCCAATCAACAGAATGCTGACAACTTCAAGAATTCCCTGAGCCAAAACCTTATGTAACTACCACCATTTAGCCAACTTGGCCCCCTGCCAAAAGAACAAACACAACACTATGCCAAGAATTACCACCGACTAGTGTGTCCTACTGTCTACAGCTTATATATGCGGAGCAGGTGCTGCGTTCCAGCATGCGCGGTCTTCTTTGTTGTCTCAATATCTCTATTGAGACTAATGTAGCACGCTCTTGTGATCATGACCCCTCTTGCTTGTAGCCAGACGCTCCATTCGTCCCACTCTGCCAAAAGATTGTGTGTTTGTATTTGGATACCTATCTCTGGGAGGTCCTAAAGAAGTACATTGTGCAGTTGATGACACGTATAGTACAAATGTGTGTTGGCATAATACTTTGCTCTGGTCATTCTTGCAGATATATTTCTACCTGGAGCTTACCCGAGAGCACTAGAGCCAGCCACAGTATACCACACCCTCCACTGGCCCTACACTATGGCAATAGCCAAAGGGAGCAGTTTCGAAGGAGGGGAGGGGGCCGCTGCCTCGAGCAAGAAACCGCGGACTATCTTCACGCCCAAACAACTGCTCTATCTCGAGGAGGAGTTTGCAAAGAACCAGTTTCCCAACATGGAGACGAGGAAGAAGATGGCCAAAACCCTTGACCTCACTCAGCAACACATTCAGGTCTGCTGGTTGGGTGGTCAACTGTTGCATTCTCTTTCAAAGCTATACACTAATGTAACCTCTTTGTAGCTTTTCATGTGATCATGGTTAATAGTGCATCAGAAGTGTTATGCATAGTTGCTACGTACCTACATGTGCAAGGGTTTCAAATGCAGTCTTTTTGAATGTAGACGTTGTTATTAACTGAGGATGGTTGAAGTATTATACACAGGCCAAGAGGAAGGGGAATATCTGTTGGGAATGTCACTATTGCACCTGAGTTGGACTCCCAACAGAAGTTGTTGTTTCTTTCCCTTCTAGTCTTATGTAATGTTTTATGCCCAAAGAGATGTATGATGTGGAGCATAAGTAGTGAAGCTGTGAAGAGTCTAAGAGAAGCTCCACTTTTAGATCGGAAAGATCCACCACGTCCATTGTCAAAATGGCTAATTCTCTGACTCTTGCAAACAAAGTCACAGTTATTATTATGCCAGTGCCAGTGGGAGATAGCTGGGTGTCCACTCTATTGTACACATGCTATGGCAGCTATGGGGCGTCACTCTACACACACAGAGGTGTAGCTATATAGTGGGAGTAGTATCCTTTGACCCTGCACACACATATTATGTACACACTCAGCACTGTGTATGTATTTGCATACTGCATGCACTGGAAATGACTTTGCATCAATGCACCCTAATCACTGTAGCTGGAGGGTGATATCAAAGGCGTCGGTAAGTGGCCACTTCCATCAGTTCCTAGGCCTTCCAGGAGCTGGGGAGGAGTGACGCTAGCAGCCGGGATCTACCACACAATGATTGGTGCCGTATAAAGTTAGTCTGCTGCACTGCGGCCTCATGTTATGCACCTCCTGTAGTGTAGGTGGTATATATACACCGTGGGAGGGAGCTGGTCTGTGGTGTGTTGATGATATCAGCCTGATGCCTCCAGAGGTATGTAGCAACACTGGACTGGGCTGCTGAAGTGTTTTGTTGGACCAACAGCTAGCTAGACTCAGGCTGTG